AATTTTGACCGCGACTCATATATGGGAGTTGACCTAAATTGTTGTTCCAAAGCAAGGAAAGTCATAGGGACCCATATTATAATCGGCACCCGCACTATAGTAACTCTAGGGAACTCTCCATGTGTCAATTACCACGGATTGGATTCATCTAAGCGGTACATCTCTCCCTGCCTGTGTCTCAGCATTGCCATCTCCACGAAGAGGGTGCGCAACTGCCGCAACGTCTGCCCGAAGAGGCCTCAAATCAAACCCTTAGGCCGAAGCCCGAGCCCTAAACCCTGCAACCCCAAACCCCTAAACCGCCAAACTCAACAAAACCCTGCAGCCCTGAATCACTCCCCACTCGCACAGCTAAACATGCACGGCGAGATTCCAATACGTTTCTATCGCTGCCGTTTAGGGCTTAGGGTTTGCATGCGCGCTTAGCTTCTTACTTGTAACCAAATCAAGTTTTTCAGCCTGGCAGCTCCTTGGGCTCCAGCAGTACAGCACAGACTGGTTTCCTGCTATAGGCTCTGTAGTACAGAAGCATGAAGTGCACACCCAGCCCCTTCTGATATAGCATCAATATCTAAGCAGCGTGGCCCCTGCGGACTGAGAGTTCGCAGCCTAATCAGAAAACACCCATCAAAAGACCTTCTAGTTAATTCTGAGGTCTATCTTTTATGTTGTAGGCTACAGTCCTCACTGCAGGTCCACGACATGCCCCAAGCCGGGAAATGCACAAAGAATTTGGCGGTGCCGCGAGCGGATCACGTGGCAGAACAACTTAGGATCCCCTTCCCTTTCTATGCGACATGCCGGCATGCGGGGCATTCCATACCCAACCATCATTCGGAGTCTGCTGGGGCCATGCATGAGAGCTTTTCGCCCCATGCATGCTGTCTGAAAGTCTGTGCCCTAAATCCCCGCACATGGCTTTGTTGCCGAGCCATCCCAAGAAGTTTGTGTCTGGTAGGGTCACGAACTGCAAAAAGTGCTGTTCCATGGTAGCGCCCTCGGCTTTGGTCCACTACCGCACACTGCACCGCACACCTCTATTCGCAAGGCTTCCCCGCGTATTGACTGCCATAACACTTTTGCACCAAATGCATAAGCAAAAAAAAGACAAAGGCCTCCGTATACACGAGCCCAAACCACATGCGTGCCTTCCGCGAAAGTCGTCTGCGCCCGTTCGATGGCCAAAGATTCCCCTTGACAGAGGTCGCGGGTGCCGAGAGCATCTGCCGAGAGGATGGAGAGTGTCCTCAGAGAATCTGGCTTCCTAGCTTTGGCCAAACACATGATTTAATCAAACCACCCTCCAGCTATATGGCCCCTGAACTCTTAACGCTGAATCCTAAGCCAAAAACCTACTCAACTTAAAACGCCGACCTCCCAGTAGTTGGTTCCTTCAAGGGCTTGTACCGGCAGCCAGTGAGCTTGCAACTCTCAGCTTGCAACTCGGCTCAGAATCAAAGTGGATGGCTCTAGTAAGTTATATAATTATAGTATCTGCACCAACTGCCGCAGAGTTTGGGAGGTACCTACACCAGTGTAAAACCATCACCTATGAAACAGGAAGGACTGCAGCTTCTCTGAATCCAAACCTTATTCCTCAACTCTGCAGGGGCTATAAAGCCCTGAGAGGTGCAGACTCGGAGTGTTCGTCTTTTGCTTGGGAAGTGTGGCTCCACTGCTCGGAATTAACAGTTTTAGGGTTCAGCAGCAACCTCTGGACTTCAAAGTTCAAACCAGCAGGTCTACATTTTCCGATAGTAGATTGGAGTACTGAAATACTCTGCACCCTGGCCTACCCGGAACGGGACAGACGGTGTCGGACAGCGCTAAGGGAGAGTCGAGCGTCTGTGACGCGTCATTTGCCGCAAGGTCCTGGAGCATCCTGGCATATAAGACGCTGGGCCTCTGGGCTTCTGGGTAAAGGACCTTTTTTTGGTACAAAAGGGGATTATATAAGGCTTATAAGACATCCTAACCCGAAGAACAGGAACCGCTCAGGATCCAAGGTTTGTGGTTCAGGGGCGTAGGGTTACGATGTATCGTTCCTTGCGTGGCGGGTTTATGGTTTGAGGGTCTGGGGTGTATGTGGGCTATTCTGGAAGGTTTCGGGATAAGTAGGGATGCAGGATGTAGTGTAGAGTGTAGCGCACTGTGGTTTGGGTACCAAAGAACCCAGCTGAGAAAGCACGGTGATTGACTGCAGGTGCTCTGGCGCCCAAAAAAACGATCGCGATCACCAGAATAAACTTTATAGCGATACCTTGGGAGATGGCACTGGAATTCCCCAATGCCCGCCAAGGAAGCCAGATGGGTATGTGCCTACACTAGGGCCCCCATTATACCCCTAATTCTAAGGAAGCTTAATCATAATAAGATCCCAAAAAGGGACCATAGTTTAAGCACATAACCATATAACCTTCTGCTCTTCCGCCCAGTAACCTGGCATCCGCAATTTGTGCCGCCATGAGCCCGATAGCCGGGACAGCCGCGGACCACACCTTGAGAATGTGGAGGCTGTAGAAAGAATGAGTAGCAGTACCATTCCTGGTTGCAGCAGCAACAGCAGGAGAAGGAGCAGTAGCAGCGGTAGTACGTTACTAGTAGTTATAAAGCGAAACAATAGCAGAGGTAGTAGTAGCAAAGGTAAAAGGCTTGGGCTGTGTGTTAAGGTCGTGGCCCGCAAACTACGAGATGCAGTAGCTCAAGCATAACAAGACCACAAATCTCAAATGAAACAGAGCATGGCTCTAGCCCGAGTATAGTCATGGCACCTGACTAACTGTTGTGGAAAAAGCAAATGTACGCACAGACCACAACAAGGGCCTAGTCGAAGTATGACTACCTGTTCTGGACACTGAAACTATTAGGGGCACTGTCCCCTAAAACCTGAATCCTGTAACCTGTGCAAACCTACAGGCTCGGGGTTACTGCTAGTACTACAGTACCTAGTAGTCCCTATCTGCAAGTACCTCAATACTGGGGGCGTAGTACCCTAAATAGTAGGTCCCTGGAGGGCTAGGGACTCTTACTGTTGATGCTATAAACCATGCTACAAACCCTGCATGACCCTAAGTACCCTAAACCCTAGGAAGTAAAGTAATACTATATATATATATGTATATATGCAACCCTAGTACTCCAAACGTACGCTTACCAGTATGTACAAGTACGAGCAAGTACGAGCAAGACGGCTTGGCCACTTGCTCCGGTGGCCTGGCGAAGTGTGCTCTGCTCAGCAGTTCGGCCCCTCTTCGCCACGGCGTAGGCCCCATTTAAGTCCTGGAACTTCAAGAGTTGTTGGGCTTTAGAGGCTTTGGGATGTTGAACCTTTGCAAAACAGACCTTGGGCCTCGGGGCCCTGGAAGCTTGAAGAATTTTGGGTTTGCTGAGGCCTGGAGCTCTGAAGAGCCTTGGGCCTGGAAATATCAAACTTACTGAGGATATTGAACTCATCAAACGCACTGGCTTGGGCCACGGAGCCGTGACTGTTTGTCATGAAGTTGATTAGATAGGTTAAGATTCTGATAAATCCTGGCTTGAGCCCTCGGGCCTGGACTATTTACGTGATCGAAGTTGTTAAGGTCGTGATAACATGTTTGATGGCAATGGTTTCAATCAATTTAACGGTCAGGCCTCGGGAACCATCAGACTTCATGAAAGTTATTCACATCTGGCTTGGGCCCTGGCGCCTAGACAATTTTAATGCTGCATTCTTTGAACTCATTAAGTTCAGTAAGCTCGTGATCTTGCATTTGATGAGTTCGTTGAAGTTGGCAAATTCAACGAGTCCCTGTAAACCCGTAAACTTCAGAACTAATAGTTTTTGGCTTGGACCCTGGAGCCTAGACAGTCCAATATCAAAGTCGTTAAGTTCATCAAATTTGCGAAGTTCCATTTCATGAATTGAATGGGCAGGCCGTTAATCGTCATTGAACGTATTTAGTTGCGCAAACTACTGGCTTGGGCCATGGAGCCTAAACAAAGTAAAAGGAGTTGCAATAGCCGAGCCCGTTGAATTCA